TTTCTTTATTAAGAAGAATTTTATTATTTATTTGTTATGTATATGTATGTGTGACTGTGTGAGTTTAAACACACTAAATGCAGGTAGGCGTCCACACAGAGGCCAGAGGGTGTTGGATCCCATGAAACTGGAGTTACATAAATTGCTTGATGTGTGGGTGCTGAGAACCAAACCAGGATCCTCTGCCAGATGAATACGTGCTCTTGATCACTGAACCATCTCTGCAGCCCTAAAGAGTTTTGAGGGATAATCTGTAGTTTTTCTTTCTTTGCAAATACTGAGGAGATGACTTGAGTAAAGTGCTCGGCAAGAGGGAGGACCTGAGTTTGAATCCCTAGCACCCATGTTAAGGCTGGGTGTGTCTGTGGATATCTGTAACTCGAGCGCCTGGGAAGGTGCAGAGAGGAGGCTTCCCAGACTTTGCTGGCCAGATAGTAACAGAACTGGTAAGCTTCAGGTTGAATGAAGAGGCAGCTCAAAAAAAAAAAAAAAAGATGGAAGATGATAAAGATGTCATCCACATGCATGTGAGCGGGCACACACACACACACACACACACACACACACACACACATGCACGCACGCACAGTCAGCTTTTGCAAAGTCATGACAGCCCAGTAGTTGCTGTGGGTGAATTACTCTCCAAAAGAGAGATTTTCAGTTGTATTACTCATCTTACCCAATTTTGGTTCTACCAAACCCTGTTCCACTCCATCCCCACTCCACACAGCCTTTCAAAGCCAATAGTTTTGTGGTAAGACTGGAAACACTTCTGGTTCTCTCAAGGACAAGACAGGACAGCTACAGTCTTTCTCATTGCCTAGCAGCTTTCTAGTCTGTGGTTTGGAATGGGCTTAAACGTTTAGCGTCTTCTCATTCCCAACAGCATCACCTAAATTTCAAGAGCTAGTCTTTGTTCTAGAAATACATTCAGTTCCTGAAGAGCGCTTTCTCTCAGACAAATGGCTGCCGACCATCCTAACGGTTTCAGCAGCTCTTTAGATCCTCTCCACTACTCTAGGATCCCTCTCCTTCCCTCACCAACCTCTACTACGCCAGGTTCTCGGTTAATCATTGGTCAACCCCCCCACCCAAGTCTCCTCGACACTCTCCAATTCCTCAACTAATCGTTTATGCTGGGAGCTGTTGAAGTTTAACTAAGGAGTTAAGAGGTTTAAGTGATGCTACTGTCTGGGTCTTAAATGTCCACTAAAGGTCTGGGATATATGTTTGCTCTCCAGCGTGGTGCTAAAGAAACTTGACGGTCAATACCCCAGGAGGTGGAGCCTTAAGGGAGGTCTTTAGACAACTTGGGCATGTCCTTGGAAGGAATGAGGGGACCCTGGTCACGTCCTCTTCCTTCTGTTTGCTCTCCAGCCACGAGATGAGCCATTTGGCTTTTCTACAGTCTCCAACCATGATGTGTGCCTCACCCAGGCCAGACAGCAAAAGAAGCAGCAACAGACTAGAACTTCCACAACAAAGAGCTAAACGACATTCTCATTACAAGTCAGCTATGTTAGGTATTCACTAAAATGTCAAGAAGCTCACCAGAAACACCAATAGTCACTAGAAATCCAGTCTTTACCTTCCATAACCGCCGCCGGGTGAGAAGGAGCCCGAGTAGAGGGAGATAAAGAAAGACAAGGCATATATATATAATAATAATTTCAGATATATCTAAGGAGATACTTAAGTATTATGGGCCAGGCATGGTGGCACATGATTTTAATCCCAACACTCAGCAAAGGCAGGCAGGTCTCTGTGAGTTTGAGGCTAGCCTGGTCTACATAGTGAGTTCCAGGACAGTCAGGGTATAGAGAAAGCCTGTATCAAACAAACAAAATGTTTCAAAGATGAAAAAAAAAGGATGAAAGACTTACCAAGAATAATAAAAGTAATATCAAATAATATAGATTTTTGTACTAAAGTGTTATGAATAATAAATAGGGTCGATTAAATGGAATAATTAATCAAGAAAATGTACAAATCATAATACCATGTGTGCCAACATCAAAACATATATGGAAGAAATGGAGTGAAATTTAGTGGGAGAGCAAGTGCTCAAGGTCCATGGTTCCATTCCCAGTCCTGGGAAAAAACTCTGTGTGTGCACGCGCGCGTGCACGCGCGCATGCCTGTCTGTCTGTGCATGCACTATGTGTGATATGTAAAACTATGTCATAAAAGGTTTATTTTTGTTCAAATATTCTGAGAAGGCCAAACAATTAAACACAAACGATTGCGTTTAAATAACTCCCAAGGCGGTGGTTCTCAACCTTCCTGGTGCTGTGACCCTTTAATATAGCTCCTCATGTTGTGCTGACCCCAACCATAAAGTTATTTTTATTACTACTTTATAATTGTAATTTTGTTCCTGTTACAAATCATAATGTACATATCTGTGTTTTCCAATGGTCTTAGGCGACCCCTGTGAAAGGGTCAGTCGACCCTAAACAGGTCATGACCCACAGGTTAAGAACCACTGTTCTAAGGCAATACCCTGTCAAATGATTAAACAAATCCATTTACTTCACAACTTGGCTTTTCTGTTTACTTATATATTTATCAAAGCTATAAATATACACATATATCAACTAGTTTGGAAAGATTTATTAATACAGTGGACACTTTTAGCCAATTCTTTTCATATTTGCCTTCATGTTCTAAATCACATACTTCTATTTCTGACAGCCTTCCTTTTTAAAAATGATGTCCTACTTGTTCCCTTAATGGAAAAATGAAAATTAGCCCCTTTGTCTCGTTGCCATCAATTCAGACACACTTCACATCTCCTATTCTTTCTGCATCTTCATATCATCCCTTTTTTAACCATACTTAGGGGTCCTTATTACCGCTGCTGTGTATGACACCCACAACACGCTCACACATGTGACCGATAGGAAGCTCAGTCTCGTATCAGCCACAGGGAGGGACCTTTACTACAGGACGTCCTCCTAGAACTAACTGTCTTATTTCTTCACACAGTTTTTAAAGAGAACTTTCCAATAGACACACTTCAAGTTCCCACCGCTGTCTCAGTTACCACTCAAGATGCTCACTCATATCTGGGCTTCCTACAAATTTCCCTTGAAGCCACACCCAACGCCTCTGACATGCCAGTGTGAACCGTTACCTCCTGCCCAGGCCCGGCTGTCTTCTTGGGAAGACCCTTCCACTTTCTTCTGCCCTAGATCACCTGCTCCCACACCCTGGCTTCCCAAGCCTTAGCTTATTTCTTACTTTGAATGGAACACATTCTCCTGAAATCCCTCAGAAAGGTTACATGGGGTCTTGCATGTGTTAAAAATATCCTTAACTCTCATCATTGGGGGAAGATGGCTCAGTAGATAAGTGTACTTTGCAGTCAAGTCTGTCCCCAGGTCTCACATGGTTGAAAGAGAGTTGTCTTCTGACCTCTACACATGTGCCATAATACATGCATGTGCTGCACGTGTGCAAACACCATACACACACACCCCACATACCACACACATTCTAACTATTTAAATTTTACAGTGTATGGACTTAGAAGAGAATTCTGTTCTATTGTCTTCTAAGTCTTGCCTTCTAGAGCAAGGCTTTTAGGGTCCCGAGCCGCTCCTCCCGAAGGCTAGCAACTCCTTAGAACCCTGCAAAGACCTGGAGGGGAATATGCATCATGCTGAGAAATAGGGGGCATTAGTGGGAGATGTTTAGACAGCTCACTTATTCCCATATACCCATGTCCATCAACTAAGCATTTATTTTCTATAAAAAAAAAACTCAAACTTTCTTCCCTTAACAACTTGAACAAATTGTTTGGAGTGCATTCATCCAACAGCTGTCACATTTACGAGCTCACAGCAGCTTCCTACAGACTCACCAGAAAACAGAGTTGACAGTGGGCCAGCAACAGCCATGCATACACAGCTGCCAGACAAGTCCACAGATGTCCCATTCTTAAATGTAAACAGACCACCAAAGATCGGCTAACACGTGAGAAAAGCTTGCATCTCAGAAAAGAAACAGCCATAGAAAGAGGAAAATCATCTCAGAGGAAAGAAAGATAACTAAGGGAATGAAGCGATCGTTTTAGAAATGTCAGTGATGTTTAAGAACCAAGACGTTTCATATACGTGATTCCCCAGTCACGGTGTGAAGAGGGAATTGTTCCAACTAAAATATAGGAAACTGTGTTTAGCATGATTTGCTTTGTGCAGAAGTATGCTTCTAGACAGTAAGGCCATTAGTAAGAAGGCCACTGGCCTTCGGTCTTTATATTCCAACTCTCTGGTGTTCTTTTCATTGAACCACAGCTGCACATGAACTACCCACACAATGTAGAGTACTAGAGAACCGCAGGAAAACCAGTCCAAAGATAAAACCACAAAGATTGTAACTGGAAAGCACTGGCATTTATTCCTATACTGCATTATTCTTTGAGTCTAGGAACTCTTCGTTGGTAAACTTTGTTGGTTTGAGTGAGAAATGTCTCTCACTGTCTTGGACACTCAAACAGTTAGTGCTGCTGTTGGGGGGGGGGGAGCTTAGGGGGTGGTGGCCTTGATGAAGGATGGCTATCACTGCAAGCAGGCTTTGAGGTTCACTGTGTTTTCTTCATGTTTGCAGTTCAGGAAGTGAACTCTCAGCTCCCCATCCCTGCCACCATGTTTGCTGCTTGCCGCCATGACTCATCTCCACCGTTAGGTTCTTTCTTTCTTCCTCCCTTTCTTTCTTTTCTTTCTTTCTTTCTTTCTTTCTTTTTTTAAGAACATCTGAATTTTTTAATCCTTCTTTACGGGTCACCTAGACCACCTTTGATTAAGAAAACTATAGAAAGTTAGTAACTGCCACAAGCGACTCCAGGTGGTGGCAGGTGTCAATTTCCCAGAGTCCTGCTTTGTGGGGTATCTGAATGCACTGCTGTGGGCTCTGCTCAAATCTGCTGGAATCACTCAGGACAGATTTTAGTCCACAGCTCGCTTTTCCCCTATTTCTTTGTAAACTCTTCAACATTCTTACAGAATTTTTTTACGGTCCTTAGAGTATTCTTCAGCTAGGTCAGCCCGGGGTGGGTGCTCAGGCTGGGGATCTTTCACCAGTGCTATGAGGGACTGGATTACTTGGTCGGCTTTGGTGGCTGTCTTCCGGTTTTCAGCACTAATTACCGGCAGACAGACCTGCCCCTTCTCATCAACGTTAGGGTGGTAGATCTTGGTTTTAAATGGACACTCTGCTGGAAAGTGGATTTCAATTCTGAAGGCCCCCTTGTCGTATAAAGGGTTGTCAGGAACAATAAGGCCTTGCCAAGTCAATAAATTAGCTTCATCAACCTGGATGTTATGGAAGTTCCTCGTTCTACATTTGTGGATCTCTTCAAGCTCCTTCATCAGCCTCCTGCTGGCCGCCATCTTGGATCTCCACTGTCATGTTTATACCACTGGAACCATAAGCCAAATAAACTCTCTCCTCTTTTCGTGGCCTTTAGTCATGGTGTTTATCTCAGCAGCAGAAAAGGAACCAATAAAGGAACCTTCAGTCATGTCAATAGTTGTAACAGGGAGAATTAAGTGTGTGTGGTGTCTGTACTAGTTTGGAGAGGTGTGTGTGGTGTCTGTGTGTCTGTGTGTGTGTTCCTCAATTGTTCTCCACCTGATTTTTTTAAACAGGGTCTCAATAGGAAGAATTTCAAGTGATATAATTTTAATTTCAGGGAACTTACCACAGAGAGAATAGAGGGGTAGAGATACAAGGGAAAGTGTTTACATTTAAAATCCAATAGCGTTTTAGCAGTCCCTGTTTCCTCCCTACGATCTCTACTGGGCATATTTACACAATAGTGGCTGAAGCAAAGACGATGTGGTTACCTAATAAAACTTAAGAAGCATGCATTTGTTGAACCAATGTAATGAACAAAGGGAATGACTGCGTTTTCACAAAGATTTAAACCTGAGGACATACTTTTACGAAAGGAAATTGCTATTCTTCACAATTTAAATTACTGACCATAAGTACCTAACATTTCATATTGCACTAATGCGAATACATACATTAAATCTATTCAATAAAACTTAGAGTACTTTAAAGCCAGTTCAAACACACTAGTAACCCAACAGGCAATGCTTTCATTTTGAACATTTCTTTTCATAAGCCTTTAGCTGGGAAATAACTTTGCAGAATACTTAAAAAATCACAGGACACACTTATATAATATTTTACTTTCGTGGTGTAAACTATAATGTAATCCTTAGTCCAAGATCACCCGATAAATACTAAGCCAATATGAAATGATCATTTGACGCATAGAAAGTTTTACTAAAAATAGTTAAGTATTTTATAAACTGGAGTCAACCTTGTGCTTGATTTATTACTCAAAAAATGTTCTCTGTAGTTGCAGTGAACTTAGCAACAAGTAGCAGACAAGAATTTGTCATTGAACTTGGATCTTAAAACTACCACACAAATATTTAGTGACCCTCTTAGTTATAGGCCCTGTGAACAAACAAAGTTGTCCCACAGATTAATTCAGGTAGAATACTTTAGGATCTCTGCACTAAATCATGTGGATACGATTTCTCAGCAGGGGATTTTCTAGGTTTTCCCATGATACCCCATGAAAGACGATCATTAAACACTTTTGTTTTTTCTTATAGTATTACCTTCAGACAAAAACCTCCAAAAGTGACATTTCAAATAGCCTACAAGGGCTCACTGTTAGGTGTGGAATTTCCAGTCATCACTGTGCAGCATTAGGCAAGCTAAAAGAATAAGTGGATAGACGTCTTATTTAAATAGATTTCTGGAAGGCTGTCCTGGATTGTTGTGTGAAGAAAACACAGGCTCTGGTGTCCAGGGACAGTCTGTCCTAGGAGAAGGTCCTAAACTGCCTCAGAGGAATCACAGTCATGAAGGGAAGGTCAAGAGTCAGCAGATCCTAGCTGCGGAAGCTCCATCAGGTCAGGACAGGAGTCAGTTACCATGGTGATGTCCAAAGGAAAAAAACGGCTTCATCGTCTCTTTTCGCCTTAAACTGAGAAACTGATTCACAGAAAGTAACATTTCACTTTAACATAAAAAGAAACTTGTCCTTTCCCTCCCTGCCTCAGAAAACTAACTTGTAAAGGAGGGGACTATTTAGATCCAAGCTTCCCTGAAGAGTTTATATTTGGCATACTAAGGATATTTCCAACACCATTCCTTAAATTCCTCTAAAGACCTCTCCCATTTACAGCAGCAACATTTGCCCAAGACTTTAGCAAGGCCCTTTTCCTTCACAAGCCTCAATATTACAAGCTACCTGGAAATTGTGATTTAAAAAATAAGTACAAAAGTTTTTCTTTAAGAAAAAACTCACATATTCTATTCACTTACATATCTGAAATCCACATTTAATTAAAAATACTCTGCCATCATCTCATGCAATTTCCTTTAAAAAAAAAATCAAAAATACACCAGGTGGTGGTGGCGCGCGCCTTTAATCCCAGCATTCGGGGAGGCAGAGGCAGGTGGATTTCTGTGAATTTGAGGTCGGCATGGTCTACAAAGGAGTTCCAGAACAGCCAGACCTGTTACACAGAGAAATCCTATCTCAAAAAAACAAATCAAGCATACAAAAACTCAGGAATAAATTTGGTATTTGGTATTACTCTGTAATTACCTTCAGGTCTTCCTGCAATTAACAAATCTGTTCACAGAGATACAAGAAAGGCTAGGGACTTAGCTCTGTGGCAGAGCGCCTGAATAACAGTGCAAGGCCCTCAACGCAACAGGGGAGAACAGAGAAGATGGGAGAAGGCAACAGTGGGTCATCTCTTTGCACCAAATATTCTATTAGTTGCATCATGATAAATCTGAAAGGCGCATGATTCAATGGCCGCTCTGCCATTTGCTACCTGTATAATAACAGTGAACACACCAATAGTTCATTCTAAACCCTAATATTACAATCCATACCTTAGAGACACCGACAGTTACCCCCACAGAGTTCCTACGGGGTTTAAAGTAGTTTTAGGCCATAGTTTTCAAACCTTGGGAACCGCAGTTAACACTCGAAGCTGACTGTTTGTGTGCCACAGCCAATAAAACAAAGTTAAGAACCAGAACTGTTCCAGGAGAAAGTTGGCCACAGTTTCTGGCAAAGAGCTAAAGAAACAAATTAGTATTCTCTCAAGAATCTTCAGCCTCGGGGCTGCACCCATGCAGGGAAAAAAAAGTATGGCGAACTATGGGGGAGAAGCTGAGTATACTGATCTCCAAACAAAGCCAAAGCTGTAGGTGGGACCTGACTTGTCTCAGGAATGCAAGTTTGACTCAATCTGGCACTTACCGATAATGCCATCGGGCTTGCTTTGAAAAATATGTACTGTTACATACATGATTATCCCTGCAAACACATATACAACTAACACGCAGTGATGTAGTTCTCTGCTACATGATGGAAGAAAAGACAGAACAGAGGAGTGGGCAGACAGACCAGAGGAAACAACACAGGATGACAGACAAATTACTGTGGGTTTAAATGTTGGCTTCTTTTGGTATGAACTCATACAAGTTAAAAAACTTTTTGGACCTAACTATTTCCCTATTCAACATAGATAATATTAGTAACTAATATTAGTATCTACCTCATAAAATTATTGGGAAGAATAAATATATAAATTACTTTGGATACAAACTGGCCATATTAAGTATCAGTTTCCTAATTCATAAAACGGAGACAAAATTTATAACTTCACGAATTGTTAGATGAATTTAGTACATTATATCTATAAAATATTTAACACAAGATAATTTCATAAATATCTGGCATTTTCATTAAACTATAAGTAGATACCAAAGATTTTTTTTTTTCAAGGCAGAGTTTTGCTGTAGTTTTAGAGCCTGTCCTGGAACTAGCTCTTGTAGACCAGGCTGGCCTCGAACTCACGGAGATCCACCTGCCTCTGCCTCTCGAGTACTGGGATTAAAGGCGTGTGCCACCACCGCCCGGCACCAAAGATATTTTTTAAACATGAGAAAAATACTTCATAACGTAATGTAACAAAAAATACTGTGAAAGTCTTTACTCTCATTTTAGGGTTGAGCATATTTACTAGGAAACCATGAGTAATTGGCACACACAGTCATTTCCCAACATGTAAAATACATCTGAATGACTCCATCGCTTAGGTCTTCCAAAGACCTAAATCCATCTTGAGATTTGCGGGCATTATGGATGGACCTAGAAAAACATCACATTGAGTGAGGTAACCTAGACCCAAAAAGACAAATATGTATTCACTCATAAGTGGCTTTTAGACATAAAGCAAAGAAAAACCAGCCTACAATTCACAATCCCAGAGAACCCAGACAACAATGAGGACCCTAAGAGAGACATACATGAATCTGATCTACATGGGAAGTAGAAAAAGACAAGATCTCCTGAGTAAATTGGGAGCATGAAGATCATGGGAGAGAGGATAGAAGGGGAGGGAAAAGAAGGGAGAGTGCTATGATCTATTGGCCTGGTCTGTCACCTGGGTACCCCGTCCCTTTAAGAGACAAAACCCACCCTCTCCCAACCCCTACCCTTGGATCTCATGCTTCCTCCAGCCTTGCTCTCTCTCCTGTCTCTCTCCTGAAGAGATAACTTCTGCATGCATGTTCTCTCTCTCCCTCTCCACCTCTCTCTCTCCTCTCCCCTCTTTCTCTTTCTCTCTGTGCATCTTTCCCTTCTTCCCCCTTCTCCCCTTTCTCTCTTGTCCCCCCCCATCTTCTCCCTTCTCCCCTTCCCCCTTTCCTTTTCTCCTTCATAACCCACTAAATAAACTCTATACCCAAACTCTCTCTTTCTGTCTCTCACCTGCTGTGTGGTCTCCCACCCACCAAGGTGACCCACCCAGGCCTCAGGGGACTGACTCACTGAGGCACCAGGAAACCACTGAGACCTCTGGCCACCCACCACTACCCCTAGTGGGACCTCATGGGACCAGCCTCCCCCTTCCCTTATATCTTTCTTATAGCTTTAAAGAAGAGTAACAGAGGGGAGTGGAGAAAAATATATAGCTCGATAAAAGCAACTTAAAAAAAAAAGTTCAAAGACCAAAATAATAATAATAATGATAGTAATAAATTAGACTACAGAAAGGAGAAAAAGAGGAAGAAACCACAGCAATTTCGAACTAATGCTCCTTTTAATACTCATTCACTGAAAAAGAGTAAATATAAGAACATACAGATAATAATCAAAAAAGCAAAGGCAACAATTGGGAAGTGTCCACGCAGGTTGTCACAAGAAAATAACTGATAAAGCTACATAAAAATCAGTGTCTTGGTGGTTGGGGTCATAGAAAATATTAGATAAATCACCTTTCAACATGAGACATGATTTTTATATTGAAACGAGAAAAAATAACACCCCATGAATGACAAT